AAAATGGGTTGCAGTAGCTTTCTAATCACACTTCCACAGACTACGGGAAATCCTTAATGTGGTTCCCCAATTTTTTTTAACGTCTTAATCTACTCATGATAAAATATAGTTAGTTTCACAAACAGAATAAAAATTTTCAGTTTGAGTTGCAAGGTACTATAGGAAATGTAAGGCTATTTCTAGCCCAGTCAATTGAGATATAATTAATACTGCTGTTAAGTATTATTGTTGTTAAGGACCTCAGAGAATAGTTAGGATTTGAATTTAGGTATTATAGTAGTCTCTGCTTGAGAATAATATGCTAAGAGGTACAAGAAAATTTATTTGTGTAAAAATACTTTTGATTATTGAGAGCTTTTATTAATGAATATACATTTACTGCCCTATATGCAATAATTAAAGATGGGTATACATCGTGTGTGTGTGTGTGTGTGTGTTTGTGTGTGTGGCTTTTTTTTTTTTAAGATTTTATTTATTTATTTGACAGAGATCACAAGCAGGCAGAGAGAGAGAGGAGGAAGCAGGCTCCCCGCTGAGCCTAGAGCCCGATGCGGGATTTGATCCTAGGACCCTGGGATCATGACCTGAGCTGAAGGCAGAGACTTTAACCCACTGAGCCACGCAGGCGCCCCTGTGTAGCACCCATGATGGAGTTTGAACTCAGAGATCAAGAATTGCATGCTCTGGGGTGCCTGGGTAGTTCAGTGGGTTAAGTGTCTGCCTTTGGCTCAGGTCATGATCTTAGGGTGCTGGGATCTCATCGAGCTCCCTCCTCAGCAGGGAGTCTGCTTCTCCCTCTGCCACTCCACCTGCTTGTGATCTTTCTTGCTCTTTCCATCTCGCAAATAAATAAATAAATAAAATTTTTTTTAAAAGAAATAATCACATTTTCTACCACCTGAGCTAGCCAGGTGCCCTAAAGTTGTGTATACATTTAACTGAGCTTCTTAACAACCTGAAATAAATTGCCTAAGAGAAACTTTTTCATGTTTTCAGGCACTGGGGTCTTGAGTTTCCCCCATGATTTTTCCTTGGGGAGCACTGGATGAAGTTATCACTATTCTCAAAGATATTCTCAAGTATAATTGAGAATTTTACATTTCCAGTTCATAATACATGAGCTTATTGATCTCTTCTGTGTTGAAATAGATGCTCTTGGCTTTACTGAGATCACACTGGCCTCTGTTTTCTTGAGATTGACCACACAGAGGGCACTTGAGAAGTATAGTCCATTTACCCAGTGTTTTATTGAGTGTCTGTGGTGTGCCCAGCACTCAGCTAATCATATCAGAGTTGCAGATTTAATAAAATGTGGTTCCAACCTGTTGGTTTTGAATAGTAATAGACAGAAATGGCAGTTGCGTTTTAGGCATCGGTGGTGGAATGGTATAAACTGTGTACCACTGGGGAAGAGGGGACAGAAGACTACAGTAATATTTATGAAGGGAATAACCCTAAATTAATAAGTGGCAGTAAGAATAGGGAAGGGGAGACTTATTCTGGAGATAATTGGGAGTTGAAATGGAAGGGTCATAATGAGTGATTGTGATAGTTGAAGGAGAAAGAGTAGTTAAGATGCCTCCTAAGTTTCTGTCTTGGGGGACCAGATAAATAGACATACTTACTTCTATTCTTAAATCATGATGATGACATGTATTGCATTCAAAAATTTTTGTTAGATATATAACATAATGAGTAATATACCCATATTATAAACAATTGTTGAATAGATTTTAACTTATATGTACATTACAAGAAAAACCTAATTCATACGTTTTATTATTTTTCTTTTCAAGTTGAAATGTTCTTAGCCATGTCTCTAATAAGTAATTACTAAAGTGAAACTTAGGCTAAGACATACTTAAGAGAGAGTATAACTTTACTGTTTTGGGTGGGGAGGGGGTTATACAACAATATACAAGGTCTGATTTAGAGTTTTATTTTTCATAGCCATTTGTTGTGCATGATGCTAGGTACTGTTTGTAGTTTAAGAATACGAAGGTAAATAATACAGAGTTATTAATTGTTAAGGAGCTCAGACCCCAGTAATGGACATAGACATATAAACTGATCATTATGGTTGTACAGTATGTAATTGCTGTAATAGAAATAGACACAAAAGAGGGGTCCTAATCCCCGAGGGTAAGGAGGAGGAGATGGGCATAGGGAAGGCTTCCAGAGTTGATTTCCAAGGTCATTTTTTTTTCTTTCTGTTATTTGACACAGAGAGAGATCACAAGTAGGCAGAGAGGCAGAGAAAGAGGGGGAAGCAGGCTCCCCACTGAGCACAGAGCCCGATGTCGGGCTCGATCCCAGGACTCCGAGATCATGACCTGAGCCGAAGGCAGAGGCTTAACCCACTGAGCCACCCAGGTGCGCCCAAAGTGATTTTTTAAAAAACTACTTTTCCCACCTTTTAATTTTGAAATTTTCAACCCTATAGAAAAGTATTAAAAAAGAGGACAAGGTGGGGCTGAGCAAAATGGATGAGGGGTCAAAAGGTACAAACTTCCAGTTACAAAATAAATAAGTCATGGGAATGTACTATATATAGCATGGTGACTATAGTTAATAATACTGTATTGCATATTTAAAAGTTGCTAAGAGAGTAAATCTCTCAAAATTACTCATCACAAAAAATTTTGTAACTATGTGTGGTGATGGATGTAACTATACTTACTGTGGTTATCATTTTGCAAAATATACAATTATTGAATCATTATATTGTATATCTGAAACTAATGCAATGTTCTATGTCTGTTGTGCGTCAGTTAAAAAAAGGCAACAAATACCTAAGGATTATCAGTTGCTAATATTTTGCCCTGTTTACTTTACTTGTATCATATGTGATAGAAATATGTATGATATATATCAAATATATTTGAGAACCACCTGCGAATAACTGTTGACAAAATGACACAACTCTTACATATTTTAGCATGTATGTCTTAGTGGGGGACATGTTCCTCTAAAACAGTTTTACAATCATGTTTAAGAAATTTAACATTAATTCATTGTCATCCAGATACAGAGTCCATATCCAGACTTTACCAACTGTTGTAGGAAATGTCTCATCACTTTTTCCCCCATCCAGTACAGCCCCTTCCTTTTTTTTTTTTTTTGTTCTTTTTTGTTGTTTGTTTGTTTTTGTGACATTAACTTATTTGAAGATACCAGTTATAAAGAATTTCACATTCTGGATTTGCCTGGTATTTCCTTCATGATTAGATTAAAGGCCAGCATTTTTAATGAATACTACATTGATGATGTTTATTTCTCACTGCATTACATCAAAAGATACATGTCAAATTGTCAAAATTTATTGGTGATGTTAAGTGTAATCATTGGTTAAGATTGTGGTTTCCAGATCTTTCCAATTTTCTCCTCATTTAATAAGTATATAATCTTGTGTAGTTTCAGCTATTTTTCACTCAATAGTTTTAGTATCCATTGCTGATCCTTGCCTGAATTGTACTGAGAGTTGCAAAATGGTGATTTTCAAATTCTGTCATTCTTTCCGCATTTATGTACCTGGGAATTATAAAGAGCATCCCCTTCCCAAAAACCCATCCCCCAAAACACTGCTATGGACTCCTGGGTTTTTTCATTTAATTCAGTATGTCATTCTTTGTGATTCTAAAGTTGTTCCAGATTTGGCCGGTTGAAACAACTTTAACCCAGTTTTAGTACCTTCTGACATGTTTATAAAAAGGAATCCCAAACTTACCTGTTAACTTCCTTATTCCAGATCTGGTATCAGCCATTTCTTCAGGGATCTATAGTTCCTTTTAATGGGGAATGGTATTTTAACTAATTAAGGTATTTTAATTAAGTAGATGTCAGGCCAACTAATAGGTTCGAAAGATGGCAGAAAGACAAAGAAATGAGGAACAGCATATGTTTGATGAATAGAAAATTTTAAGCAATTTCAAAATGTGAAGTAAAGTTAGAACTGAATAAAAGTGAAGATCTTGTGAATTGCTCTTCACTGTTATTTTTTACAAGGGGGAAATGTGCATAATAGAGTACTTGAAGCTGCGTGACTAACATCAGTGAATCATCCCAGTGGATTTAAATTTAAATAATTAAAATACTTGTTTTAAAACAAATACATTATGCAAAATCCTACAATTTTTTGTAATAAAGCTATGTCAAGATTAAAGCAGGCGGTGCATCTTAAGTCGGACAACAGAGTATGCATAAACTCTCTTTTGGGATGGTTTGATGACATTAAAAAAAAAAGAAGAAGAATATATAATGACATTATAACCCAGGAGGCTAGATTTTTTATCAGAATCAAGAGAGTAGAAGCAAGAAGAGCCTGATAGAAGAATATTGCCATTGTATAGGTAAGAAATGATAATGCGAATGTCTGAGGTAGTAGGGAAGGAGATGTTAGTTTCATAGGTTTTCTGAGTATTCTAAACAAAAGCTAAATTTAACCCCTCTCCCCATCATCAAAAGGGAAGGAAGCAAAAAAGGAGATTGAGAAAGCTAAAAACTGTAGCATTCCTCTTTGTACATATCTATATTTGTCCTCCCTTTAAAAATTTTCTATTGATGATAGGCAAATGTTAGTGATGCTTGTAATTTGGTCCATTTTTTATTTATGTATGAGTTATCATTTTTTATGTTTAGCAGTTTCTCCTCAGTTTACTTTCACATCATTGGTGCTGTATTTTAGAAGATTGTGAAATAGACCTTATAAAAATTAGCCCAAGGTAAAAATCAGGAAAGTAAATATCCTCCTGAAATTATAATACATTTTCATGGCAAATAGAATTTTTTTGTATTAACTTCTGCTTTAGATTTTCTGCAAATTCAAGAATTGAGAGAACATGACAGCATAAATTGATATTTAAGGAGGAGGGTTACCATTTCTTATAGAGATGTTATTAGATGTTTTGAATTGTGTCTTAAGTGGCAGACTTTCTGAAGTTTCTGTATTTATGAAAATAACATGTGAGAAGTATTTAGACAGCATCTGTTTCTGTTTTTAGACTGGGCTGGTTTAGATGAAGATGAAGATGCACATGTCTGGGAGGATAATTGGGATGATGACAATGTAGAGGATGACTTCTCCAATCAGTTACGGTAAGTTTTAAGTCAGATTTTATATAGCTTAGTATTAATTGTAAAGATGGAATATGTAACTTACATATGATGATTGACCTCTTTAAAAGATCATTAATCTTTGAAATACATTTTTGAATTACGAAAAGGAAAAATCTACTATCTTCATCTGTGTTTCTGAACATGAATACTTTGTGTAATTGCATAGAACTTTTATTCTTTCTAGTTTCTTTACAAAGGTAGTTAAATAGCAGCATATTTGCTATTTTTTTATTTTTGTGGGTTTAATTCTATCAACATTAATTTTCCACCAATGTTGAATAACTCAGCAGAAATTAGAACCAGAATGCCAGGACCCAAAAGATTGGTGATTCTCAAACTGGAAAGGAGATTGGGGTGATGGGAGTGTACTTTTTCATATTCATTTGCAAATTTACCTAATATGATTGATTGAAGTAAAATTCAGATATCACAAAACTAATCATTTAGTGTATAATTCAGTGGCATTTTGTATATTCACAGTGTTCTGCAGCCATCATCTCTATGTAATTCCAAAGCATTTCTATCACTCCAAAAGGAAACACCATACCTGTTAAGCAGTCACTCTGCATTCTTCTTTTCCTGGCCCCTGGCAACTACTAATTTTCAGTCTATAGATTTGCCTGTTTTAGATAAGTCATAAAAACAGAATCATACAATAAGTGATCTTGTGTGTCTAGTTTCTTACAGTTAGCATAATGTTCTCACCTTTCATTCATGCCATAGCATGTATCAGTACTTTGTTTCTTTTAATGGCTGAATAATATTTCATTGTATGATATGCCACAGTTTGTTTATCCATTCATCAGTTGATGGGCATTTGGGTTGTTTCCAGCTTTTGACTACTGCGAACTGTGTTACTATGAGTATTCATGAACAAGTGTTTGTTTGAATACCTATTTCCAGCTTTGGGGCATATAATCCTAGGAGTGGAATTTCTGGGTCATATCATAATTCTCTTTAACTTTTTGAGGAACTGCCAAATTGTTTTCCACAGCTGCTGCACAATTTTACATTACTACCAATAGTGTATGAAGGTTCTAAATTGTCCACATTCTCATCAAAACTTTATTCTTTTTTTATTATAACCATCCTAGTGGGTGTGGATTGGTATCTCACTGTGGTTTTGATTTGCATTTCCCAAATGACTAATGAAGAGCCTTTTTTTGTGTATTTGTTGTCAATTTGTATATCTTCTTTCAAGAAATAATCTAGTCAAGTCCTCTGCCCATTTTTAAGTTGGGTTGATACTCTTTTTGTTGTTGAGTTGTCGGAGTTCTTTATATATTCTTAGTACTAAGCCCTTATCAGACCTATTACTTACAGATATTTTCTCTCATTCTGCTCCCTTCTCTTTTCATTTTCCTCATAGTGTTCTTTATACATAAGTTTTTAATTCAGATGAAGTCCAGTTTATCTACTTTTTAAGAATTTATTGCCAAATTCAAGGAAAATTTATCCACATATTTTCTTCTAACAGTTTTAGAATTTTAGTTCTTACATTTAGGTCTAAGATCTATTTCAAATTAATTTTTGTACATGGTTTGAAATGAGTCCAACTTCATTCTTTTGTTATACCAGTACCATTTATTGTAGAGATAATTCTTACCTCCCTAATTTTATTTTGATTCAACCCATAGTATCTATCTTGGCCACAGAGTAAACTGTCATACTTTGCTCAAATCAAGATCTAGCAGTTCTACTGCAGTCTTCTAATTTTCTAGTCTAGTACATTTGTTCAAAAAGAGAGATGTTTTATAAGAAATTTAATGATGCAGTACCTTTTGTCCTACACTGCATTTTTCACGGGCTCAAAGCCCTACATTCTAAAGATATTTTAGGATTTTGCTGGAGACTAATAACAATTTTATCTATCACCTTTCTCCCCTTTTTGGAAATAGCACAATTTACCTTTCACTTTTATTCTGGTACTTTTACAGTTCTCCATGATTTCTCAAAATGGCTGACTCTTTTTTGACTGTGTCTTTTCATTCTTTCAGTATGCTGAGATGTAATTATTCAGAACCTAGAGATTTTAAGCTGCTTTAATGCAGTTTAGAGTTATCTCACCTGTCTTAGTTTACAATTTTGTATTAATGATGTTTTTCCTGTTGCAGTTTTATGAACAAGATAGGAACAATACTGTTGAACAATAATTCTGCTTTTTCTCTGAATCTGTTAATATTACATCTCTTCTAAGCATTGGATCTATTCTCATTCTTCTTTATTCATATATGGCTCTCAGCCTTTTTTGTTCTTTCTATAGCTCTCAATCCATATTGGGGTTAAATTCTGTGTGTATAAGTTCTTGCCACTTTTTGCATTAATTTTTGGTTCATATTTTAAAACTGAGCAACATCGGAGAACACCCTGCTACCTATTTTTTTTTTTTTTAAGATTTTATTTATTTGACAGAGAGAGATCACAAGTAGAGAGAGAGAGAGAGAGGAGGAAGCAGGCTCCCCGCCCAGCAGAGAGACCGATGCGGGACTTGATCCCAGGACTCCGAGATCATGACCTGAGCCGAAGGCAGAGGCTTAACCCACTGAGCCACCCAGGCAGCCCCAACCCTGCTACCTTTTTTTTCCAGTAGGCATCCCCCTCTTTCTTCCCTCACTAGAATCATTATACTCTTAGAATATTTTCAGGCCTTCCGGCTCTGTTGATCCCCATTCTGAGTTCTTAATCATTTATCATTTTTTTTCTTTTCTGTTATCTTGAAACTTTTCAGGTTGAAGCTGAATGAATTTTCTTCCTTTGCTATTCATAAATTTCTTCAAAATGTTTTTCTTTTTTATCTTTCAAAGTCAGAAAATAGCACTTTTCTCTTAAAAAATTAAACGAAGACATTATTAAATACTGGGTCACCTGAGTGGCTCTGTCGGTTAAGTGTCAGCCTTTGGCTCAGGTTATGATCCCAGGGTCCTGGGATTGAACCCCACATTCAGGTTCTCCACTATCCCTCTGCCTCTCCCCCTGCTCATGTGTGCATGCTCGTGCTCGCTCTCTCAAAATAAATAAATAAATAAATAATTTTTTAAAAAGACGTTATTAAATACAATGATCTTACCAGGAGACTTTTAGTAGTAAATACATTGATAATTGGATTTCTTGCCACTACTGCATCTTGTCTTTTTTCGAGCTTGGAAGTAGAGCATTATTCATATATTATTTGTGTCCTGTTGTTTTTATAATACACTTACACAGTTCTTATGTTCTCCTTTGTGTTCTGCCTTTACGTTTGTGGATTTCTATGAGAGTATAAGTTTTGATACCTTTATTAGTGAATAAGATTTTTCGTTTTATTTTCCTGTTTGAATCATGAGGTTTTTTTTTTTCCACATGTGGGTTGATACATCTCATCAGCACTATAAAATAGAACTTCTTATATTGATAGAAATGTTTTGTAAGCTGTCCTATCCAGTACAGAAGCCACCAGCCACATATGGCTCTTGAGCACATTGAAATGTAGCTAGTGCAGCTGATGGACTGAGTTTTTCATCTTACTTAATTTTAATAAATAGCCATATGTGATTCCTGTATTGGACATTGCCATGTCAGATAATATTTTTATCTTTGCTTTAAAAAAGTTGTCCTCCTGATTAACTAGTTGTCCTGATTAACTTTGCAGATTAACATCTGAAAAGATGTTCTTCTTAGTCTTTGTAAAACATCTAAAGGTCCTCAATGTGATATTATAAGCCATAGTAAAGAACATATTTTACTGTGTTCTGATACTGTAAATAGGTCCTAATCCCTAGCTTTGGAGAGGCAGTACATTTTCTGGAGTCATTCTGATTCCCTGGGTTCCAACTCTGAATCTGCCTTTTTATTAGCTACATGTCTTAGCCTTCCACTTTCCATGTTTTTCTCTTTCACTGTAAATACCTATAACAAGTAGAAGTAGAAAGAAAAAGGCCACCTGTATCTCCAAGTAACTAAAAGCCATAGAGAAACAAATAATCAGAAGCAGCAAAAACAATGACTCTTAGTTCTTCTTGGAGTTATTTAAAAACACATTCAGTAGAAATGGGTGGGATTAGTTTTCCTGACCTTGCATCACATGTTACATAAAAAAATCCAAGAAGCCAATATTGTTCTGATTTCCATGTCAAATATAGCCACTGTCTTATAGCAGAGTAGTTTCTTGGATAATAAGAGAGTTCTCAAACCTACCAGTGGCTATTTGTCTTTCTGTTTTTGTTGAAAAAGGAAAGGTGCTGTTTTTATTTCAAATGGTGTACAGTCACTATATGTGTCCTGTGATACTGTTCCAATTGTTCTGGACTTCTTTCTCATCTCTTTGTTAGATTGTATAGATTAGATTGTATAATTTTGTGTTTTGTACTTAGTACCTCAATTTGTTTTTCCTTTTGATTTTTTATATGTCCTAAATTCTAGCAAAAAACCTTTTCATCTTCTCTAAAAATAGAGAAGCATATCATATTCTCCTTTGTGTGTGTTAATAATTTACAAATGTAATTAGTTACTACCTCCTTTCAGTAAGGCAGATGCAAACCTGGACAGATTTGGTGTACCTGTTAACTAAATTGTAGGCTGACTTTCCAGGATTTTTGTTCTTGTTGTAGAATAAGAGAATTTGAATAATCTACATTGATTCTGTTAAAGGCGGCAGAAGACTATTAAGAAACTTTGAGAATTATTTCCTTTTTAAGTAGAAAACATGAAGAACAGATAAAATCTTTAATCTCCTAGAAAGGGATGGGGTGGGGAGGCAAAAGAAGCATTTTGGTTAAATTTAGCAAAGGAAGGAGCAGAAACATGGGCTGATCTTTTGACTACTAAAGGGGTGATTTACCACCGGCCATACTATCCTCTACACCTGAGCAGAAGATAAAAATGTTTTTTCTGAATAATCTCTGGATTTAATATTCATGGACTGTAGATCTGTGTTTGTATTATAAATAACTGTAAATATTTTAGTGACATTTGGGTAAATGAATAGTAAATATACATCATTCCTACATGTGTTTTTTTGTGTTGTGTTTACATTGGATAGTGTGATAGTGTCCAAGCTAAATTATAATTGAGAACAAATGTCAGTTTATCTTACCAGATATAATGGCATGGGGCACATTAATCATACTTGACATTTATACAGTGTTTTATCATGCTTTGGCCCTGAAATAATCTGGTTGTAAACTTCTATAAAATTGAATTGTGGCAGGGGCGCCTGGGTGGCTCAGTGGGTTAAGCCTCTGCCTTCGGCTCGGGTCGTGATCCCAGGGTCCTGGGATCGAGCCCTGCATCAGGCTCTCTGCTCAGCAGGGAGCCTGCTTCCTCCTCTCTCCTCTCTCTTTGCCTGCCTCTCTGCCTACTTGTGATCTCTGTCAAATAAATAAATAAAATCTTTAAAAAAAAAATTGAATTGTGGCAGAGAAGTTACTGATCATACTTGGAGTAGTAGTTTAGCTGAAATTGACTATAGAGCTAAACTTTTTTGTGCATCTGTTTTATGCAAAGCAGATGAAAAGTTGCAGTATATAAGGATGACTGAAAGTTCAGGTTGAATAAATTATTTAAATTACAAAATATCTAGGGACGCCTGGGTGGCTCAGTTGGTTAAGCTGCTGCCTTCGGCTCAGGTCATGATCCCGGTGTCCCAGGATCGAGTCCCGCATCGGGCTCCATGCTCAGTGGGGAGCCTGCTTCTCCCTCTGCTTCTGCCTGCAACTCTGTCTGCCTGTGCTCGCTCGCTCTCTCTCTCTCTCTGACAAATAAAAATAAATTTTTAAAAAATTACAAAATATCTATATTTATATAAAATATAAATATAAATATAAGTAAATTCATATGAAATATAAATTAAGTTTATGTTGTATATTTACAATATATATTTGTATATATTGGGTATATAATTATAAATTTTTGAGGTCTTTAATACACATTTAAAAATTTTTTAAGTAAAATCTTTAGTATTTTATAACTTATATATGTTTTGTCTACATATAGTTAATGCAGAATAAGTCCCATGTACTTTTAAATTTGATAACTTTTGTCTGGGTTAGAGCAATAGATATATGTCAATATGGAAAGCAGTCTGTTTATTCTTTATGTGTAAATAGCAGTAATACCTACTAGGATTATAAAATTCCTAAAAATTTGATACCAGATGTCTTATGTTCTAGATGTTTGGAAGATAGTAGTTAATCTCTCACATTATTTCCTTAAATAGATTTATCAGAAAATTAAGGAATATAAAATTAGGTTTACTAATGGGAAAGCAGAATTTTATTAGCATTAATGTTTATTCACATTCAGCTTCCTTCTTGCACAGATTTCTTTTAAGGGTGTAAAGTAAAAGCTACTTGGTAGTGTTTTATATTTGTGCCTAGGCTTAGCTCATTGTTTAATTAATTGTATTTCTAAAATCATTGTTTCCTTAATTTATCATAAAGAATGTCCAGTGATGTTGTTCTTCTTTTGTGTTTTATTATAGAGCTGAACTAGAGAAACATGGTTATAAGATGGAGACCTCTTAGCATCCAGAAGAAGTGTTGAAGCAACCTAAACTTGAACTGTACTAAATTCTAAGTCAGAGAACCCAGGATGGGACACTTAAAAAAAAAAAAAAAAAAAAAAGTTTATTTCATTACCTGCTGGGATTTATTTTTGTTTTTGTAACACACACAAAAAATAAATGTTTTGATCTAATCTTGGTTTGGTTCAGAAGTCTTGATCTTTTGCTTCCCGTCATTAATTTTCTCACACTATTTATGATTTTCTGGGACTTTATTATATAGAGATAGTAAATTCATCTGATCCCCGATTCAGCACTTTTTTTTAACCACATCAATTTAATGTTGATCTTATTCATAAGGTTACTTCTTTTAAGTTACATTTAACCTTAATCTCATCTGTATTTTGAAAGCTTAGGAAACATTTGCTGACATCTCTAAGGTGACCCTTTAAGACCTGTGTTTTAAAAATATTAATCATTTTCAATTGATGTAATTAGTTCCCGAGCCATTAATAATAGTATTAATAGTTGATAGAGTATTATTAGTACTGAAAACCAAGTGCTTTGATCATTGAGTCAGTGTCCTCTGTCAAAATTGGTGAAGTAGGATCAAGAGGCTTTGTTAACATAGGCATATTCTCAGGTACTACATAATAGATTCATTTAGTATAAGATTCTACAAAGTGATTATCATTGCCACATCTACTTCTGTGAGTGGGAGATACAATTTAGTTGGTAAAGGATTCTTCCTCGTAAGACTTAGAATGAAGCTAATGTACAGGTTTTATGAGGAATATTTTCAAACTTGAATGTGTTAATTATTTAGAAGGAGAATTAGCAGAACTGTTGAGTAATTTAAAGTGTAAAATTTATGTAACATGATGTATTTTTATTTTATTTATTTATTTGACAGATCACAAGTAGGCAGAGAGGCAGGCAGAGAGAGAGGAGGAAGCAGACTCCCCGCTGAGCAGAGAGCCCAATGCGGGGCTCGGTCCCAGGACCCTGAGATCATGACCTGAGCCGAAGGCAGAGGCTTAACCCACTGACCCACCCAGGCGCCCCTGTAACATGATGTATTAACACCAAAATAAAATTGGGTGCCTGAAATATACTTCACGTTATGCCTCAAAATGATTTTGAACATGTTTTTCTCCTAAGACAAGCTTCTATCTGCCTTGCCTACCTGGAGAACTGCTGGGTGATTTAGGTAGACTAAGGAATAAGAAAGAACTTTGGAAAGTGTAAAAGCATCTTACATTTTTGTAATCCTGTAGTGCAGCACAGGCAGCCATGCTACTGTTGTGGCAAGTGAAGAAATATTTTGATGTATATGTTCTCAGTACTCTGGTGGGTGATTATCTTTAGATGCCGTATCAGTCAGTAGTCACTTTGACAGTGTCAGATACTACCCAGGAGGGTGGCCACCTCATGTGACTTTAAATTGGTACAAGGTACAATTTTGAAACCTTACAGGAATTGGGCAGAGGCTTTAATGGGTTTTCATTAGTATCTGGTGTTTTGTTCTTAATGAAATTTCAAAATTTAGTTTGGGTATTCTTTTCTGTTAAGGGTTGAGTACCTGAAAATTGGTATTTAGTATAAGGATGATGAAGCCGTCAATGGTAGAAAGACAAGCAGCTGAAGACAATTATTTTTGTGGGACTTTATAGTTAATAGATTTCTTTAATTTTGATCTTCACAACAGCCCTGCCAAGGCAGGTAGGAAGGGCCTGTCTATTGTAAACATTTCATCAAATAGAAAACCATCTCAGAAAATAAGGCAGTGAAAGGGGCCATGGTTGTATAGCTTATAGGTGTCAGATAAAGCCTAGCATCCAGGGTTGGATTTTTTTTTTCTTTGTCGTTTTCCATAATCACTTAATTCCACTTGAAATAGTTTTGAATTCAAATTGTAGATATAATAATGGTCAGTATTTTTCATCAGGCCTTGGATTAGAATTGCCGCCACTGGATGCCGTGTCTCTTCTTCCTATTTCTACTAAATGTTTAATTTAAAGAACTATAATAATGAGCCAACACTCTTGAAAAATTGTATGGTATGTTAAAATTGCCATGTTATGGCATATCATGATCTATCCTGCCTGTACTTTTTAAAGATAGCCATATCGTTTCTGCTCCACAGCTAAGTTGAGAGAGTGAACATCTTCCATTCTTTTGGCAGAGAGCTAATAATTTGCGCTACTCTGTCTACTCACACAGAAGATGCTGGGGAGTTAGACTTGAGTTTTCTAGCTGCCTTAATGGCTCTAGTTGTGTTCCAACTTTAAATCTTGGCATAGATCTAGATTCTATCCTGTATCCACTTCTTGCTCTAGTATCCATACTATATTCTCTTCAGTAATTTTGTCCAGTCTCAGTTGCTTAAAAAAGAAAAAAAAAAAAACCCTGCATATGTATGATTTCATTCTCTATTTTCAGTCTTTGCCTCTCCTTGAAGTCCTAAATTTTCTTAACCACTAACAACTTGATCACCTTTTCAGTATCTAAAGGGTATCTTAAAGTTAACTGGGTGGAAATGGAAGATTTGATTATTTTTCTCAAACCTGATCTTTCCTCCAGTCTTTACCATCTCAGTAAATACCCCACCTTCTTCCCAATTGCTGAAGCCAACAGGATTAAGAACGGTTCTTGAAATCTTCTCCTGGTATTTAATCTAGTGGCAAGCCCTGTCAACTCCACCTTCAAAGTATATCCCTTGTAGTTGATAGCACTGCTTGCCTACCCAGCATCTATTTCCCTTTACTCTTTTCAAACAAATCATTTTTTTCCCTCACATACCACCTTTTCATATATGCCATCTAACTCAAGGCAAGTCAACCCCATTCCCAGTTCATGATGGGCTCTGCTTTAGTCAGTCATAATTCCATCTCTCATACAGATGAGTGGATGGTGGATGGGCAAGTTTTAATAAATATGGGCCAATAAACAATTGGCTAGGGGCATCTGGCAAAGAGGGATCTTGGCTTTTGAAATAGCAAGCCTCTCTATAGGTGTGAATAAGGAGCATGTAGTCTTAATTGCTAGTGGCAGTTACCTAACAACTATTCCAGTTTGAGGCCAAAGATAATTAGTCTGGAAGAATGTGATTCTTTGATAATATCCTTGAGGCTGCTCTGGCACTAAGCTTCCTGTAAAATAAGCAAATATAAGACATCTTGGGTTGGGTATTTGGTTACTGGTATCCAGAAATAACTGATAATTTCAGAATCTATCTACTCCCACTTTTTAGTACCTTAATCTAAGCCATCATTCACTAGGATTCTCTATAATGATCACCTGACTAGTCTCCCTGCTTTTACGTTCTCTGCCCTACAGTCTTTCCTGTTAAAAATAGGGATCTTGTTGAAATTTAGACCATGTCATCCCTTTCTTTAAATGCCATCAAGGACTTCTTAAAGCATCATAAAACTGAACTCAAAGCCGAATATAATTAGCCTCTGCCTGTCTCAGCTTCCATCACTTGATTTTCAGTTAGTGTCATATTTTGGTCACTTTTGAAAAGTAAATGAAAGATAAATCATTAAGCAGAAAGTCATTATACTCAATTGCTTGAACGCACCAGCGGCCTTTCCACCAGTTGGTACCTGGAAGGCTTGCCCCCTTCATCCTCACAAGTCAGTCCTGAGCTCAGAAGGGTCCAGCAGAGTCAGTATAGATGAGGAGATAGAGGAGAGACTTTTTTTTTTTTTTTTTTTTTTAAACAGAGAGCTGACTTTTGCCTTCCTTCTTGGCTTATAAGACACAAATCCTCATAATAGGCCCATGTCATCTCATTGGTTGTACCTAGACAATTCAAAACTTGTATCTTGCCAGAAGAGGTCAGTAGGATCACCAATGACTGAAATATATATATTTTTTTGTTATTGCCTGCAGTGAATGTCTTACAGAAAAATCTTCATAACTTTTTACTTTGCCCAAAATATGACATCATTGTTCACTAATTATTCAATACATTAATTACATGAATCTTATGTTTTCAAGAGTAATCCTTTACCTAAGGTAAAATGTTCTCTTCTGTACATTAGGGTTAATAAAGATAATAAGTATGGGGCACCTGGGTGGCTCAGTGGGTTAAAGCCTCTGCCTTCAGCTCAGGTCATGATCTCAAGAGTCCTGGGATTAAGCCCTGAATCGGGCTCTCTGCTCAGCAGGGAGCCTGCTTCCCCCTCTCTCTGCCTGCCTCTCTGCTACTTGTGATCTCTGTCTGTCAAATAAATAAAATCTTTAAAAAAAAAAAAAGATAATAAGGATGTTTGAACTTTGCAGATCTCATACTCAAATACTCATTGCATTGTGTGTGTAGAAACCTGTGGTCTAAGTTGATAGGGTATATCTTAGTGATTTTGATTATCATATTTCCAAGTAGAGGAATGGATAGGTTTTATGAGAAGAGCAATTGCTTTTCTTTGCTAGGGCTAAGGTCACTATCTAGTCACAAAGATGACAGTTTGTGTTTATGTCACTTAATATTTTTCAGTAATTTCCCCTTTGGTGATTAAGAACAGGATGTTCTCTATATATAGATAGAGATATATACAGATATATAGGTAGATACAGATACATAGATAGATATAGATATGTTAAATTACTTTGGCTTTGGAGATATGTATCTTTCCTCTGAAGCAGGACTGTAGGAAAAACATTTTGTGGGATAAAGAAGTCATGCTATAAGTGTACAAAAATTGTAAGCAAAGTTTTAAAATACTTATGATTTATATATTGGAGAGGTTTCTTCTTACAATTTAGCTTGTTAAATTATTAAAACATTTTGGAAGCTAAGTTTTCACTGATACAATAGTCTCAGTCTATATATTACTAGTTGACAGTAGCATAGGAGATTAACTCCTGTTAGATTTTATTTTGTTTTCAAATTAAAATTGCTGATAGACTAACAATTGTCTCTTTTTTAATATCATTAAAAGAGAGCATATACTTTTCCTTAATTTTTCTTGCATGAATGAGATTGGTAATCTCATTTTAGAATGGTCACAATGTTCGGAAAAGTCTAGGATATTCAGTCAGGAATTCAGGAATTTGATGAGGGATTTCTAATAGTATTCCTAGGAGCTTGTGGATGAAGGTGTGAGGATAGGGGTCCACAGATCCCTCTT